ATATATATATATATATATATATATATATATATATATATATATATATATATATATATATATATATATATATATATATATGGAAAGTCCCTTGAGAAGTGACTGAGATAGACTAAATTCTAAGTTACTGGGCTTACTTTCAAATTTCAATATTCGATGATTTGAATTATACTTCTTTCTATAACCAAAAACAAAAAGCAGGTTAAAAATAGAAGAATCAAAATATGAAGCAAGAAGATCAAAAATGACAAAAGAATTACTAATAAGAAAATGAATGAAGTCATTTCAGTGCTGTAGTAAAGGTTCTATTCCGACTTTTCAAATCAGATTTATTAAAGGTTGAATAGTTGCAATGCTGTTCAACCCTGGTTGAGCATTTCTGATTAACTTCTTTTCAGGTCAAAATATGAGACATTTTAAGATTCTCTCGAGATATTAAATAAGCATTCGTTTTATATACAATACATTACTTCACTAAAATCAGACTTTTTATTCAAACAAAACAAGAACTGAGTTTCGAAATTTCCAGAAGTCGTTCTTTGTAATATTTTATATATTTCACGAACTTCGAATTCAAAGTCCATTTTCCATTTATATCCGCACATCGAGTTTATATTCACGAATACTTGTGATTTGAACTGTTACCTTCTCACAAGCAATTATCGACTTCAATCTGATCACACCTAATTTTTAATTTTATATCGTCTTTTGTTATATTTGAAACAAGTCAGAACTGTGCTAGTTGAATTGCTATATTGAAGTATAGAATCTTCATGAAAAGGAAGAGGAACTTTCCATGAGTGAAAGGTTTTTTTTTTTTTTCATGAATATCTCATTGATTGGAAGGGTTCATTATTTCCTGCTCAAATCCATTGACAAATCTGTAAATTTCTAGATACTGAAATTAAATGTCAACCAGCAAGTTTTCTCATCAGTCCGGATTCCTAAATCCCCCACAACTAATAAAAATAGAGATGATTCTCTGTCAGACAAGCATTTGTCGTTAAGCACAGCTGAAGAAAAATGCGATGATTATATTCGGTTGATCAATTGATGGATATAGGGAATATTCCTATTCCCTTTTTTCGTGTCTCCTGTCTGTTCCCTTTGCTCCAACCTTATCTTGGAGGTGAAAAGGAAATCCATGCAAAATCCAGTTCGAAGTTCATTTAGAATACTTCGATAGGGCCAAATAATGCAGTGGAGCAAAATAATGTTCAATAAAGCAAAGTAGCGATTTGTTTCTTGTTCATTAAATATTCACATTACACTGAGCATGAACCTCTTGACTTTAAGCATATCTCAGCTAAGGTAGAATATAACATCCTTTGTGAAGGCAGCCAATAATAGATATATATGTAGCTGTAAGTAAGGATATACAAACGATATATGTATAGAATTCTTGTCTAATCCAATAATTCTGTGCTGTCCTTCCATTAGAATTAAAAAAAAAAATTGGTTGAATTATGCTGGATATCTTTAATGAATATAAAAGCCTTAACCAAAGCAAGACAAAATAATGAGAGAAAATTTTAGCATTTCATTTTATTATTTCTGGAGGACAACTAAGTGAGTAATCATCACACATTACATGAAAATCAAATTTCCTTTCGAAGATTGCTACTTATCACAGAATAATTTTTACACGAATTTGATTGAGAAAAAATGGATGCTCTTATTGATTTGTTTAAATCGAAATTTACATTAGAAAGAAATATGATAGCAAATGAAATTGTCAAGACTAATGATCAAGTTGGTAGATTTGATTAGTAGTGTTAAGACAGTTAGTAAGTTGATTGATATGCTAAAGAGATGGGAATACATTTGTTGAAGATCCAAGTATCGTTGGAAAATAAAAATAAAGAAGGGAAGGAATATTCTATGCTAAACTTTGAATGCATAGGAATCACATATCATATATATGTAATTAATAGCAGAAATCAATTGTGTAAGCAAATCTGGCATTAGGATAGATGTGTACAGTGAAGTATTTTGAAAGTTAAAATTATGAGGGATAGGAATTTTCGTAACAAATAGTTTATAGGAAATATTCATTTTTCCAATAGATTTTTTATAAAATTTACAAAACTTGACTAAGAACTGGCATCATTTTTCATGAAACCTTCAAGTTAATAATCAAATTCCAAATTTGAGAATTTAACAAATTCAAATAATTAGAAAATATTCAAGTCAAAGCTCCATTTCCAAATCTACATTGCAGAGAATGAACCGCAGTTATTACAGCAGGATAATGGTCATCGGATAGCAACACTCATGAATCTGTTGACTCGAGCCAGCAAAAATAGGCTGCAATCCCGTTAGTTCTTCTGATTTCTTGTTCACATCATTATGATTCCATTGATAAACTGCTTAATTAGGTGGGTCACTTGCTAAGAAAATAAGACGGCGTAATATATCAACAATGTTATGTAAACTAAAATTATCAACCTATCTTTGATTACCACACTTGCCACCATCTTTTATTTTTTCTTACACCTAACATTAATTTCAAATCTAAATTACTGATCAAATTCCAGGACTTCAGCAGTTGCTCCAACTAATAGAATTTACATATATCTAAAATTGTCAGCCTGAAAAAAAAAGAAAAAAATCTTTTCGGAATCTAACGGTATCAAACATATCACTAACAGTATCAAAATCAAAATCTAACGGTATCACTTTAAGGAGAAGATTTTGATGGTGTTTTGGATTTAAAAAATTTTTGAAACCCAAGTTCTATTAGATAGTTATCGAAATTTACTGATTGAAGCGGTGGTTTATATAAAATATGTACAAACATTCAGTCTATGATGATGAATACGACGAGTCATGGAGCAATGATATGTATGATATTGATATTGAAAATGCGGAAAATGCTGCCGTACAAGGAACGGCCACAAAATTGGTGACAGCACAGAAGAAAGGACAAAGCGAATATGTGGGATTTATTGGGCCAAAAGTTTCAAATCAGATGAAGCACAGGGAAATGTTGAAAAAGCAGATAAAAGATTACGAAATGGTCCAACAAACTAACTTAAAACCAATGCTTCATCTTGGCAATTTCCTAACTTTAGGTATGCCACTGGTTTCCGATTCAGTTTGCTTAAACATTCATCCTGAAATTATTAATGGACAGGGATTGGCCCGACAAGTCGTCTTTTTAACGAGGCACAATTGGATATGTTTAGAATACAGTTTTGCTGCTAGTGCTGATATCCGATATCCAACAGTTTTTCAGAACATGAAATTCTCTAGTTCTATTAACCATTGCCATATTTCTTGCTTAATTTTCAATCGTAATACATTTCTTTTCTTCATCTTGTTTTTCTTTGAATATTCAAAATATGGTCTACAAATTTTTTCGAAATACGTCCCTCTTAAGTTTGTCGCATAGATGTCATTCTTAATGAAAAAGTCTTTACTATTTATTAAAATGATAACTAAAATGTATCTTTTTCTTTTTTTTTTTTCAGCAGTAGCAACAGTTTGCATGTTGGCAGTGGTAGCTGGGGTGACAACTGGCAGCTACTACTTTTTCAAGTAAGTTTCGATAAATTTCGTTTCATCGTTTAGTATACCAAACGAGTTGCCTTGTCGAATGGACTACATTAAACAATTAATGCTCTTTAATGCTTACTTTTGAAATTCTTTTTAATTTATGCTTTATTTAATAAAACGTTAGGGATCGATCTCAGAAATCCCCAGTAGATAGCTGTGACTTCAAATACGCACCCACCGGTCCTGGAAAAAGCAAGAAAAAGAAAGGTGGTGACGAAGGACTCGCGTACAAGGTATGTCGAAAACTAATTCAGTTGTTAGATATGGATTGTTGAAGTGTATTCTAGAATGTGGAAGTGTTCACTGAATATTATTTACTCATGAGGTGTGGTTCCAATTTTTACTTGTTTTTGATCGATGATGCGGCTATGACAAAGGAAAAAATAGACCTGGCGTCTTTTAACATGTACCATATAATTTGATAACACCGTAGTTTACCTTTATGACTGCAATATTAAAAGTAATTAGTTCTTCTATACTTTTTACTCTTATTTTCTTATTTCCCTTCTGATTTCATATGCTTTTCTTTTTTTTTTCACATTATTTGAATGTGCAATACTTTTTCTTTTTTAAAACGCTTTTCTGTTATTTGCATCACGGTAATTTCACTACATTTTTACTTCTGAGCTGTTTTTCTTATTCTTGTCGAGAAAGTGGAATTGAATGTTGAATAGAACATCTGAAAAGCGTTTAAAAAAAGTATCATATATCCAAATAATCTGAAAAAAACGTATGAAACCAGAAGGAAAATAGGAAGAATTAATCAGTTAATATTGAACTGATTGCTTTTGATATTGAGATGCTTAAGTATAAAATGCGGCGTATTCAAATTCTTAAGTATGTCGTGGTAAGTGAGGTAAGAGATGTCGGTAAAGACTGAGGCGGGAAAAGAGAGAAAAAGAATATCATTTCCCTCATCAATTAATTTATTCAAAGCGGATAAAAAGATGCCATCTCCAGATATTTAACTGTATTTTGCCAACGTATTTCGTTTTGAATTTTGCACTTCTTTAGCTGTTATGTTCTACTACTAATATTTTTAGGCACAGCTACATCACTATCAGCAAGCAAAACAGAAGATAATATCAGGTGAAGATGGAACAGTTACTCTTCCTGATGGCTATGAAAGCAGTGAAACGTCCGATGACGAGAATAATTTTTCGGTGTATGAATGCCCTGGCTTGGCTCCAACCGGTGATATCGAAGTACAGAATCCAAATTTCATTTCGCGAACCTGAAGAGTAATCAGATCAGCTGAATCACATTTTGTGCAGAAGGCCAGGAAAGAAATTGAGTAGTGTTATAACTTGGAAGTTTTCATGTCTTCGTAAATCATTTGTGAGGAATTATTACTTTCAGGACATCTTCCACCACTGTATCTAAATAGCAGGAGAATTTGAAATGTGGTGAAATTTATTTCAGATAAATTCCTTAGAAAGGAGGAAATATTTTAAATACATTATTTCGCATAATTATTGTATCTACAAAAAGAATTCATGCCCATTATCAATGTATTTCATTTCATATTCATCGGGATGGACCATTCATTTATCCATTCATTTGTGGCTAATTTATAAGTAGTTCTCCCCAGTTATCAATTTGTCTGTTCTGCTGCGTAGTAATACCTATTTAAAAAATTCAACTCTAACAAAATTAATGTTACATTTTGTGCTACTGTTCAATTTGCCAAAATCAGGTATCAAAAAAAAAGATGGTAAAGGAGATTCTAAGATTATGTTGTTAACTGCATATGACAAGTGACATTGTGACAGATACTGAATTTGCAGGATAGCAATAGGAATTACTTGCTTGTGCCTCTGTTGCTTGCAGTTGCGAACTTTACTATAATGATAAATGCCATGTCACCTGATGCAACCAATTCAACTGTTAGCAAAGTGTACATACTTTTTTGAAATGTTGTGGTCATTGCTGCAAACTAGACCAGTAAAAATGATTCGGCAGTAAGGAGATATGAAGACGAGTAGTATGTGCCACTGGCTATACACCTGCAGCCAGAAGAATCAGTTGACTTGCAAAAGGGGCAATCTGACTAATCAAAACCATGAAAGTCAGAGCTCGGTACGGTATGGAAGAGGTAGGATGGAAAGAAGGAAGAGGAAGAGAGACAACACTACTTTGTGATGAGATCACCTGGTAGAAGGAGAAACACCCTTGGCTGATGAAGCCTATCATCCTCATCCTCAACCACCGAGTAACATGAATGCCGAGACATGTTTTACTATGGTAATAACTGGATGTAGTAGCGACGCCGAAGCATTGTGGCAGATGGAGGGAGGGGGAGCTATTAGTGGACAGCGGACAAGAGTTCATTGGATATTACGTCGAGCGTCTTGTTTTACAAACTAAGAATTTACTTTCAGAACGCCTTTTATGTCTCACTTTCGTATGGGATAGAACTGCGAGAGTCGGTGAATGCCGGAGGAAACCTCCTCAGGGTGAAAATGGAATGTCTTGGTAAAATTCGTAAAATCGAGAACTGCATTAACGATATAGTCGATTTCGTCGATACGTGGAGAAATCTCAGTGCGCAGTTAGAAGCTACAAGAAAGGCAACATTTAACATGAACAATAAGCACGCTGCTTTTTGACTGCTGTTAAGTCTATTATTTAGGAATGCTTGCCGGGACTGTTTTTGTCTTGCGATGACATTTTTTGAGATTTAATTTAATCCGGGTGAAAGTTAACCAAAAACCCTTCGCCTCTTCGTGATTCCAACTCGTTAACTGGCTACTCATTGCAAGTAATATAATTGCAAGGGCGCTTTGGAGTTCGCTTCGTAACGTCGTTATGCCTCATCACAAAAATTGTTTACATAGTAGACATTGGAACTTATTGTTAAACTGATGCTGAAAATTTTAGAGATCATAAATACATATGCCTAAGTCGACTGTTCTCTATACCTTCCAGATGCCGCGGTATACATCGTTAATGCTACATTCGGCAAATTGGCAATCACGATTAATGGCACGAATCGAGCTTGAAATCGATATAGTTGCTAGCAAACTGTCCGAAAAATGGAAACAAATTGAGGAAGTTGCCAATATGCTGAACGACTTTGTCGCAGTTGATTGCCAGTCTCAAAAGACTATACTATCGTCTTGTCTTCGAGAAGATCTTCAGAATCTTCTGTCATATCTTATGGTAGAGGTAATGAACTGGTTTGAAATGCAGAGTAAAGTGACTTATCCTGCAGTTATTGCGTCCATGAAACCAAATCTCAAAGTGGAAAAAGCCATCGCGTTCTGCCAACAAAGTTTACAAGCTATCGCAAACCATACACCCAAAAAATCCTCTTGATTTCTTGCCTTTGTATAGCTTTATTTATCTAATAAAATAAATACTAAAGAGTTCCTCGCTAGAAGTAAACTCGAAACATCGAAGGGAAAGGTTGCACTTCATAATTTACAATCGACCCATCAATTTTAAAAGATGGAGTTTTTTTTTCCATACTTCCTCGTTGCTTCTTTTTGTTTTGCAAGTTACTTCCTTATGAGCAGTTCCGCAATTATTGCAAGCCAAGAGTTGTGGTACGTGGGAAAACGGGAGAGTCTGGCCAATTTCTGTAAGCTTGCTTCCATTCTCTGCATTGAATTTTTTTTCAAGGAATCACAGGCCAATCCATATGATTCCTAGGAAATAATTCAGTGCGGAGAATGAGAAATTCGCTAGTGTTATAAACAATGCTTTATCCGTACGTGCATGAAGTATTCCGTTCATCTGCCGTTTAAAAATATTCAGATTCCATCTCACATTAATATAAATCCTAAATGGGATAACAATGAATACCAGCACTGACTACATCTTCCGCGCTATAGCAAAGAAGTAACTGGTTGCGCAATTCTACAACTCATTTTAGTTTATAGGCAAAGCCGTAACTTCACGTTTATAAATTTAATGTACCATAACTTTAATTTAAAAACGCATTTTGAACAAAATCAGAAGAATCAGATATGACCAAATATAAATCCCAAATCTGTGAAGTCCTCTTCAGGACGTTCCTTGGTTCTTGGAATAGGAGGTAGTGGACGGAGATGGACTGTTCTTCTGTGTCGTTCACCAACTGAAGTCTGAAATATGTGCCGTTCACCAATATGATTCGACAGAAGAATACATCGAACAATAAGTTTCATAATTCTTCAAATGCTGAAGCGGAGGGAGAATGATTTTATCTGAACTGGTTTGTAAAACCTTTGCTTTCTGTGTCTCTCAATTAGATTGTTGATCTCCGACATAAACAGCTTAATAAAAATTAATTCAAGGACGGACTCGTGAAACGTTTCGAAAACGACGGACTTAAGTAACAAAAGGGGTGGGACCACAAAGCGAAGGTAATAGTCGGGTTAAATTAACCAACTTGATAGTTTACAAAACCTTCACGTTGCAACAGTTATAAAAAACTAACCGCGATCATAGTTCGTAGTAACTTTTTCATAATTTCTCTTTTCATTTTTTCATTTGCGAAGTCTTTGTTACACTTCATAGATACAATCCGTCGATCTAACCTTTCTACATCCTCTACAGAACATCCCGGCACTTGCTGTAATACTTGAGACAGACTGGAGAAACGCTGTCTCTGCAAAAAATGTTTTTCAAAAGTTATCAAATAATAACAAATTCCTTAAGTAACTAGTATAAAACATGTCTAGACCAAAATCAAAGTATATAGCCCAAATGAAGGATATAATTTTAAAATGAATTTTGCATATAAAAATTGTCTGATTATCCCTTGTGTGCTCCCCATTCTCTACAAATATTCTTTGACAAATTGAAAACTTAGAAAAAGCCATGAAGCATATACAACATATGCACGCGCAGAAGTTTGGGATATATACATATAATAAACGCAGAAATAAAGCAACTCACCAAAGAAGAGTAAATAAAAAAAACAAGAGATAAGAGATGAGTGAGAGCCAATTCATCCGATCCATGAATTTGTAAACTCTGGATATTTTGAATAAGCATAAAGACAGCTAATTCTTCACTACATCTTTCACTTAACTGAAAAATAATACAGGCACAAAGTTTATGTCGGGAGATCTATCTAAAGCAATATCCTCCAGTTTTTGGATGAAAGAATAAGAGAAGATCCACAGATCCAAATCCCAAAAATGAAACAGTTTCAGAACGAACACTTTCGATAACATTCCTACAGACAGGTATTATTCGAATCACTGAAGTTGCATCGCGATAACTTAAGCACAAAAACATGCACTCAACAATCTTTCCCATTACCTCCTGAAAAAAAATATTCCCAATCACACCCAATTTTCAATTCAAGTTTGTCAATGAAAATATAAAGAGATGTTATCTAAATTAGTTCACAGACAATCAAAAAACCAATATGAAAGCAATGCATGTGGAATGATTAAAAAATTTTTTAAAAATTATTTCTTCAGCAGTAAGACTGGAATTATACAGGTAAAATTTTTCGAACAAATTACGGATGTAAAAGGTATTAAATTTTTGGAAAATGTGTAAATAACGAGCCTCGTCCTTCAAAAAACAGTTTTTTATGCAGGATGCTTCTTCGATTTTGTCACCTGTAATAATAAAACGAACAACAACCATATATTAAACATGCTGTGAACGGAAAATTTTTGCGAGAATCAATAGAATCCTTCACAAGTTTCTTACCTGCATCCGTAATACCGAATAGATTCCGCATAAAAATTGCACATTCCCTCGTCAAAATACAAGCCATATGTTCAGCTAAGAGCTGTTCCTGCGAAGGCTCATCATCTTCTGCTGCAAACAGTATAATCGACAGTAAAAACTTCAAAAGGAATTATTCAAAAGATTTCAGTTATGAACAGAAAACTTGAACAGCTCTTTAGAAAGAGCGTATTTGGAGCTCAACAATTTCCTGCGATAACAAAGAAGTTTTCACAAATTTAATACATCCTTCACCTGTAAACGATTTGTGGTTACATACAGGAAAAGTTCATAAAAAAAAGATTAATTAATGGCTAAAAAGCAGAAAAAAGTAAAGAGGCGTTTAGAGAACTAACAGCATTCAGAAGCTGCAAGTAGCTTCCATCTGCTTTGCAGTCGCTTGCTCAATTCTTCAATCACTATCAATAACAGTTGCCTAACACTGTGATATGCAAATTCTGGACACGCGCATAAGAATGGTTTCCTTGAAAAAACTTATATTATTAAGTTGCTGCCGCACTCACCTAGCAAAAACATCCAAAAAATAAATCCAGTTTTCGATAGCAGACGTGTTTAAATATTACGATGTTTAATTCTAATCAGTGTAAACATACCAGGTTCTCCTCAACCAAAATCGTAAACGGAAATCTGGAACAAAGGTGAGGTGACAAGAAAGACAGAATGCCCAAATGCCGATTTCTGCATCCAAAAACAACTGTTTAGCTGCTTTACTTGCAAAATACCCTATTAAAGTTTGCCTGAAAAATTGATACTACGTGAAGTTTCTACAAATGATAATATTGTTCGCTAATCATAAACTGAAGAATAAGAATGAAAACTTGCACTTTTTCTGTAACATCGAAAAGGAAAGCACGAGCATGAGTTCCTGGATCATCGGATAAAATTCGAGCGGTTGAAGATACGCATGAATCAACTGCTGAAAATTGCATATTCGACAAAATATTTTGATGATGAATAACAAGAGTTCAATGTGCACAGTGAAGAACGGCTGAATGAGAACCTAACAAAGAAAGGTAAACAAAATAAATCAGCTGTATATAAACAGGAAGGATCAAAAATCCAAATTTTTGCGAATGATAAAAGCATTTCTATAAATCATCCATTTAAGAAATCTCAAAGCAGCTAGATAAAAACGGAAAAAATGCCTCACGTGTCAATAACTGTTGTCGTTCACTAGTGGTAATTTCAAAAATGGATAGGGGACCATATGATATATGTATAACACTCGCATTTTTCGGATCGTACAACGAGTTTAAACGCCTGAAACGGAAAATAACCAAAGAATTAAATCTTCGTTGACGAACGAAGCATATTTCTGATGCTTTCATAAACTTGAAAATCGCGGAAGGTATAAAAGGTAGCAGCCAATAACAAGAACTAAATTGGAAATCAAACATGATTCAAATAAGCAGTAAAAATTTTTAAGCAAATGCAGCATCTTTATGAAACATATTAACAGTGAATGATGCCAACTGCCATTAGATTTTTCATTACGTTTACTCAAGCATACTTCTTCTGTTCATAAGACCAATAAAAAATTTTAGCTATTTTGAAATTATATCACAATATTTGATTATAAAATTTTGGCTTGCAACAAATAAATGATTTAAGCGGTGTGATATAAAGATCATAAAATTACTTATAAGCCCAAAGTTCAACCTTCTATTATAATTATTCACGGAAGATGAATGTTATCGGTAATCTGAAATACAACTTTCTCTAGTATATTTATTTGCAACTACCCCACTCCACATTTCTACGATCTCGATCCATATTCAGGTAGATTTTTTCTCTAAATATAAGATCCCGTAATTTATAATTAGTTACAAATCACAGTTCTCGATTCAAAGCAAAAGCAATAAAAAATATCATTTAGGAGAACTTACTTCACTAATAAAAATATTGTTGGCAAAATTGGTCGGAAAGCACTATAGGCGGGGTGAAAGGGAGGGGCGACCGACTGAGTCTGCGCCATTATTCCCTCGAGAGTGGACAAATGCGCCCGAAACTGCAATTTGGAAATTATAACTAGTAAAATCAAGAAGACGAAGAAATTATATCCAATATAGCAAAGAACACATGTAAATAAAAATAACCTTCCGACGATTGAGCATGAAAGACGATCTTGCTGCTTCTGCAGTGTTTGCTGGCGCGGGAGAAGTAAAACCAAAAAAAGTCAGGAATGCCACATCGTTTTGGAAAACCCTGCAACTGACTTACTGTTCATCGTAAGTTTAATGAAGTAAAAAGGTGTTTCAAAAAAATTGAAACTAAAATATAATGAGTGAAAAACCGTCAACATTAAGAAAGATGTTCAAATCTGTTAACACTTACTCCTGAATTTCAGCTTGAAGGAAATAATATAGAGGATCGGATAAAGCACTGGAGAGGAAATTATTTTGTGTCGCAAAGTCGATACAGAGATTGCTTAATGCAGCAACTACTTGCATACAAGAAGCTAACTGCATCAATGATAAAAAGGGACGTATTGAAAGACAAAATTCCAGAATGGTTCCCGCTTGTCCCTGCAACAATAAAATAAAGAAAAGAGCTGGTAGCAATGATAAGGTGGAGCTATCTGGAGAGAAATAAAAGCAGCTGAAATGATTGTTAGCTGCATCGATCTTGAAATCTGAGCTTTCAGTCAACAGCACAAATCAAACCGAAAAACAAACCTTGATATCGTCAGCGAAAATGGTGACTATCCTCAATAATAAAGCTATACAATGTCTCTTAACAGATTTCTCATCAATATCATCATCCAAGTGATCGCTCAAAGGTCGCCGTAACTGAAAGTGTTCAGTGAATGATCCTGATAATGAAAATCCTGATAATGAAACCTCCCCAATACGTAGCTCACTGATATCTTTGCTCTCTTTGCTCACTGATTTTACATGTGTTTATCAATAAGATGGGTATTTTTGCACCAAATTACTTTCCAAATAATACTGATTTATATGAAGTGAAAGCCTACCTGAGATAGAAGAGATATAAGTAATTGCGGATACCTTCCAACAGTAACCAAGAGGGTCGAAAGCATCGATAATAGGTTGTTCATTAATAGCGGTGAGGTACATTTTGCCATTAACGTCAGCATTCCATCAAACAGTGAACTTAATCTTTTGTAACTGTCCTACAAAAAATTAATTCAATGAAATTTCGATATCTGAAAGAATTAAGCGAAAAAGAAATAGACGCAAAGAAATTGGAAATTAAACGACATACAGGTCCCAACAGCTTTCTATTGTGACATTCCCATAAAACAAGTTTCGAAAACCGTTGCATTGAATCCCACTCCGTTTGTCTCACTAAAAATCGCACAATTTTTTATGAAAAATCTTTAATAACTGGAATTAATGCCAACTTAAACACAGACATAACTCGCGCAGAGGACAAGCAATACGAATGATTAGCAGGCACCGATATAATACCGTTCATATTTAGAATTGCTCCAAGACAGTATGCAAGCAAAAATTGGAGGAGGCCATTACGTATGAAAAAAAATATCTATGTGAAAACACGTCTTAATAACATTAACAAACATAATAAATCCACCTAGATGTGGATGGTCCAGGCATCGACTGATAAACCATTTTTCCACAATGCTAATCAGTAAGTCGATATGCTTTTCAGTGCAACAAGAACGAATAACTTTCAAACAACGGTCGCGAAATTCTGAAGGTAAAAAATTTCACTATGCGAGCTATTTAAACATTCATGTCTTCGTGATGTATTCTTTTCTGTTATATATCAATCGCTGATTTTCTAATTTCTTCAGAATGTTGAGGAAACAGCATGCATAATTACTGATCACACTATATCTCACGCGTAAAGTCATGTGAGAATTCATTATCGTCATCATAATCATGCTGTGAAAAGCGACAAGTCTCATGGTCATTTTGAGACGGATAGCCGACTTTCTCCAATAAACTGGGTGTGGAAATGATCACACGACAAATACATTCATTGAATATTTCGTCATCTCCAATTTTCTCGTGATTTATTAAGGAAGCAAATACAGCGACCGCTTCGTTTCGTAAATACTGCAACAAACAGTATATACGCCAAGGTTTTTCAACATTTGAGTACTTTCGGATGATTTTAGCAAGAATGCGAAGTAATATTTGAGTACTTCTCGAATTCATTATATCTAATGTTTTTAGCAACTTCGCAATGTATCACTTTGCTTTACCGCAAGAAAAAAAGTTCGAGGTGACCCAATTAATGTAAACTGAAGTATTTATTAAAAAGTAATCTTCAATAACTTACCACTGATGGATGTGAAAAGAACGCTTCAATGGCAGCTAGATACATGCCAAAATTAGGTGGTCGCTGAGTCCAAACATCCGCCAGATGGATTCCCAATGCGGATAAAACATTGCAAAGGGTTTTTAGAAAACGATAATGTTCCACATTACCAGCACCAACACTTGCTGCTTGGCTGAAAACTCTTGTACAACGAACATATATTCAATTTCAAATAAGTGAAATCTTAAATTAACAAAAAGATGTTCCCGCTTGCAGCTATCAAGGATGGAAAGGCCGGTGAATTTAAATGCGTATTATGCGTAAGCCATATGACAATTATTTTAAAACTTGGGACATTTCAACCCCAAAAACGGGTCCAGCTATAAAATAAAATTTAGGCGTTCCTATACTACCTCCCGAAATAGCATTATGTTTGTGATTTCTTTTCCAAGCAAATCACGTTCAGTAAAATTTGCTTTCGAAAAAAGGAAACAGTTCGAAAAACAAACAACAACTCACACACCAAACAGTTACATTTTATACTGCAAATTAAATTTATTGTGGTACTGATACTTGAATATAAATATCTACTGAGGCATTATTAAGTTATCTTTTAGATCATTTTTGTTAGAACAGAAGGTCCTCGCGTATCCGACAAAAAGTAGCATACTTCATAACACTACTAGATAAACATACTTTGCAGCTCTAAGAATCGACCGCATAGGAACATCACCGAAAAGAGCAAAGACGACAAGATTTTCTTCATTTTTTGCCTGCTTTCGTGAAGCTATCCTCCATAAACAGTTCGCTGCCTGAAAACAAATTTCGCATGTTTCACATATTTATATTTCAAAACGTTATCGAAGGCAACTAACGGAAATATTCTTCATTTCAGCCGGTACATTAAACATTTTCACTCATTTTTCTCAATAAAATAATGTGGAAAAGATTTCAAACCACTTCATATATGCAGTGTTGAGGTGTCTCAAGGAATGAACAAACTGTATATAACAAATCATTGATATAGGGCTCTAAAATGTTAGCCGGCAACCATTCAACAAGTTCACCCAACAAATCCAAAGCGGAACGGACTAGGGAATAGGATTCATCTGAAAAAAAAACTTCAACACTAAGAAACCAAGAATATCCCTTCCAATAAAATGATACGTATAATAATGAATATACGTTCCACTTCAAAACAAAAGCAAAGTTATCACAATTCGTAACTTGTGACAAAACATAGATAAGAAATAACTTGAGCTAAGACTGATTCTCTTTTTTTCCCAAATAACTATTTTTCCTTTAGCTAATAAATCACATAACTATAATAACTGCAAACTTGAATAATAGAAAAATAATGAAATTACCAAGTACCTGTTGATTCAACAGAACATTCATGTAATGCAAAACGGATGATATGCAATATGCGCGGTACGTTAGAGGCGATAGCACTGTTAAGATCTTTCCTTCTGGAAATGTTTTCAACAGTTACCAAAGTGACTACGTTTTCGACCAAAAGCTGCAGGGTAATAAATGGGATCTGAGCATGGGTTGCAGATACAGAAGCAATCTAAAATTAATGCAACAATTACTACAGACTCATTAACCAGAATGTAATGAACAACACACATATTAAACAATTTTTCTAAAAACAATTTTAAGTTCAAATTTGACAGTGACAACAAAGAAAAAAATTCGAAGCACATTATTTGTAGATAACAAAAAACTGACATCCTCGAGTTGATCAAAAAGTTCCGGCCAATTTTGAGGCCATTCATGTTCAATCATTACGACGACACATCGTGCTGCAGCACATCTCAACTCATTCCGCAGCATGGCCTCCGATTTCATCGCAGCAAAACAGGTACATCGAATCATAAGGCGTGACTGTCCATTTATTTCCAACCATTTAAATCTGCGAAAATTTGAAAATTTGATGTAACTTTCATTTGCATTGATAGATCCCTAGCAAGCAGATGAAAATCATATACCTCAATATATTCCTAGTTATGTTTGGTATGACATGCGTTATTCTGCGATATAGGTTAACATTAAATCTAAGACTAAAACTTCATTTTGAAATAACTTAAAAAATTGGACAGGTCTTTGCTTATTTGGTGGTTATCATATAAAGCTTACTTAATAATATGTTCAAGAAAATTCCAGCCTGTTCGAGCAAGGATGAGGTCCTTCTTCGAGATCAATGCATAGGCAATTTGTTCTACATCAGTAGGGGACAATTCTTTTACTGATTCGATAACCTTGAATAATACAAATGATTAGGTAAAGATATAAATGACTGAGGGAATAGCTACTTGCAGATGGTCGTATTCGTATCGCACCATTATGAACGACCCCTTTGCTACAATAAATAAGTTCAGTATTTAAAATGTATATTAATTATGTGTGAATTATAGTTATGCAAATTATATGCGTCTACTCAGTCCCCGAATTATTTGAAAACTCATCTACCCAACGAAAAACAATATTTTGGTTCATCTTCATAATCTCGACAAGTCTGTACTCAAAAATGAAGGTCTTGCCACTCTTTGCCGATTAAAATATCACCAAAGACGATTCTTGTTATTGTTCCCTTGGCTAAAACTCACGACAAATTCAAAATAATTATTACTCGGAAAGCTACGAAGTTTTTTTACAATGAGTTCCATGATCAACGACGTGATCGTCACTGATCGTAGAACCCCATTTTAATAAAACTAAAAATTATTTGGAAAAGGTGACCTGAAGTCCAACTATCTTTATGCATTCATGTTTATATTTATGAAAAAGATGCTATTAGTTATAATATCCCGTTATTCCGCTTCCAATGTTATTAGTGATGGATTTTTTATAATCCAGCTCGAATCATTTCAATTCCAATTTCCAATTTCATATGTTCTTTGAGGTCCCAGCATATCGGTATATGAGATACGCGAAGGGGTAACGTGTATGCCGTGGATGAGAAAAGGTGTTTATAATTAACAGTGAAAAGTTTTCACTAACCTGCGATGCAGCTGCTCGCTGTTCGTTACTAACTGTGGGGTTGTAAATAGCCTCCAACGCATTTCCGATTACATTCAGTCTGTCCTCCATGATTATAGACACATCATCTGAAATCTATGAAATGTAAGTCCATCCATCTCCCCTAACCTTGCCTTTTACATACTCAAGTTAGACGGTCCGTCATTCACAAGAACCGTCAAAGTGGCAACCTTCCAGACAACGTTACACCTTTATAAACGTCTTGTCTACCAAGGGTTGCTGATAAAACTTTAATGGGATAAATGGATATAACTGGAAGAATGATGGATGAGAATGTCACCACCAACTTCGACTAATTAGCCAACCATACCATATCTCTCCCGAAATCGAACATCAATATCAGACTGACCTGCATGTGACATTTGCTAAAAAACACACCTACTTGAATCTTCCAACTTACATTCTCAGTTTATTCCGCTGTTCCCTCTTCTATTTGTAACAATGTTAATGTCCACTTCGTTGCAACTTCAGCCTGATTTCGGATATGAATCCAGTAGGCAACAGTCCAAAGCTTTGTCCTAAATTAAAATTTAGCTATATATTATAAATGTAACGATCCAAAAATATTGGCTATGTTTCACAAGAAAAAGAATTAAAATGATGATTCGAAGAAAATAAAACAGATGTTTTCCATCCAAATGACCTAATTATACATGAAATATCTGTGTCGCTGAATCAAATCCACAGCAATGACTACAACTGGATAACGAAGATTTTAATACCAACAATCTTTAGTAATCAATTGATACAACAGTAATAGTACTACTGGTATATTCTGCAAGCAGCGATTGTATTATATGCATACTGATCACAATCATTCCAAGCCATACTTTTAGTCACATGAAACAAAGAAAAATTCACAGCACAACATCTCAAACAAAACAATAATGACAAATTGCAATCGGGTGAGAAGTAAACATTCTTTAGCGTGTAAATACATTCAGCAAAATATATGTTTATTCTATTAGAATGATCTGGCGTAACAAAGAAGTATAATTAAAAAGATTAAGCTCAAGAATTCGACTATAAGAGAATAAAGAGAAGCAAATAAAATTAGTGTATATATTTGTTTTTTACTAAACTCAGTCGTGAAAATTTGGAGTTGAAGTTCCGAAAAAAAAAATCCAAAACCAAATATACAACAGTGTAAATTACCTTACCATAAAAAATAAGTCGCAATGAAAATACTATGAACAACACACAGTTAGTAAATGTTAACGATTCTCGTCTTTTCGCCAATTTCTATCTTGAATATTCAACTTACGAAAACAAGAAAGAAGCCAAAACTGAAAAGCAGAAGGAAAAACAAATGTAGAACATTTAACAAAAAGGACCGAAGACCATAAAAAAATTACTTATCTCTTCAAGATTCCTGTAAGGAACCTGAGGGAAAATTGGATCCATTTTTTTGTCGAGAAATTACAAGCAAATGATGAAAGCAAATAATAAATCCTAAGAAATATGCAACTTTAAAGCTGATCAGTTTTGTGAAGCTGAACTAAACACAGCACGCTGAGTTTCAATACGTCCCTTCTGCATTGACATAACGATCCGCGAGACATCTTCCACTGGCATGGTCCGCGGCAGTTCACTTCGCTGTTCATCCAACCGACCTCTTTGACTCCGAATCACCATCTCGTACAAACTACCAGCATCTTCAGATCGTGACTGTTCCACGTGTGGCGGTGATGATTCTGACTGCTCCACACTATAATTTTATTAATCAGTCAGTCTATTTGTGCAATGAATTCAAATTTTTTCAAAAGATCTCGTAATGCCAATTTGACAGTAAAGGATAAAATGCATACGGAATACCAAACAAAAAAGTTAAAGTTACTTGTCATTACTGTCTTTCACTTCACCGCTAGCTGACAAAGACATTGCTTCTGACTGAACACTCAGATGCGCCCGTTGCTCTTCCATTCGGCGACCTTGTAAACTAGCTATCAAATCAAGCATTCCTTCGGCACCGTCTATAATTCACAACTCTATAATACACAGCTAGCATAGGTATCTAACCAAGTGTTGTGTTTTATAAAATTTAGCATATTATTCCAAAATCTTGGTTTCCCTGAAATAATTCGTATTTATGCATTTACTGAAACTAAAAAAAAGTACTCTCACAGCAAACCACTTTCATTCCTGATTCTTTTAAATAAAAAGCAAAATTTGTGTGGAGAATCGTCAAAATAAAAATTTTACAAGGTGCTACAAAATCAATAACTAAACGGATAACCATACCAAGATAAAATTAAAATGCATGCCGGAAAAGTCTGAAACTGAGAGGAAAAACGCAGAATTAGAACGGAAATGACCAACTTTTTTGTCTCAAAGAGAGGGGATTCGATGAGATGACTTGATTACAACGAGTTCGGTTTCGAGGCGGTGCAACTGGAATGCGGAATTCCGACGATTCGGGGATCCGCGGCCTACCGGACTGCGCAAATCCATCATCACACCCATCCACGGTATTTCGTGCTATTGTATCCTCCGAAGAAGAGCGTTTTAAACGCGATGTTGCGCATGTTGCAGGTGATTTGTTATGCAATCGATCACTGCTATCAGCAAGTAGTTGTTGCTTCATCGAAGAAACAGCAGTTCGAGGTGTCGAAGTTGTGGAGGGGAAAAATGATGCGGACATTAGCAAGCTTTGCCGTCTTGCTGCTTTTCCTACACGTCCAAAAAGTGCCGATAATCGATGTCGCCGCCCAAAACGTGCCTCGGCTTCTAACGGAAATCACAAAATTTAAAAGAGCAAATAAATCGCACTTCAAAAAAAAGGAAAAAAGACACGGCAAAGTGCAGAAAAGATGAAAATTATCTTTAATACTAATTTACACTGAATCTTATTGGGACGAATAGAAGCCATCATATTTATCCACAATCACAACAACATAAGCATAGCAAAATGAACGGTAGATTAGAATCGGAGATAAAAAGCTGAAGTTGAAGAAGAAAGAACATTGATTACTATAAAAAATCATTTTATGCAGTTTGCCATTCGAGCTACTGTTTTATCATGCCATCATTTAAAAAGAGCTCAACCTGGATTGCAAGCGATTATATCCGATTGTCGCGTAACATTTTTTGAATGATTCGTTAAATCGCTCAGTATGATCGGATCACAGCGCTGATCATTAAGACGTTTTGACTGTAACCGTGAGACCATTTCAAAGAAATCATCGTTGTAGTTAGCGAATCGAACCGGCTGAAGCACCACTACTACTTGAGATAAACTTTTTCCAACATAAAATATGTATGTAAAGATAATCCAGTAAATAAATCAACTCTGAAGTTAAATTCAATAAAATCTTTCCTGCACGTCTATCATTATTTTACAACACGAAACGGAATAATACCTATAAGCTAAACTATTCCTGTATTTGACCCCAACAATTCTAAATGCCATAGCATATCGTTGCATGCAACAGCCAAACTTCAACGACTCAAATTAAACTTTCGTCAACAAAAAAAAGGAGTGATCTATAATAAATTTAACACTGAAATTTGACCTTATAGGTAGTAAATTAAATGTCGATCTATCCTATTTAACTAAACGTTTATGCGAATAGCTCCTCTTCAAAATGATACCCTATGAATGATGACTGATACCCTTTGAAATATGTTTCTGTTATTAAAGACTCTATTAGTCAATACATTTCAAGGAAAAAAAATTTGAATTTCAAAGTTGCAACTCATATGTAGATGGAAAGAATAGTTATCCCAATTTTACGAAGCATGCTTAACAAAGTACGGAAGGGAGAAAGTATGCGCTGTGCTATGAAACTGGAGCCAATATGAAGAAATCGACGTTTTGGAATGCATAAAAATCGAGTGATCTATAACTTTCGTTCATAAAAATTAGCAGAGTTTCTTATAAATAATCCGGACACTCTTGTACGAGCAAAACAAATGCACTTTTGTAATCGATTCTGAATCATATTGGTACCTTATTTCGACAAAGTGTATAGAGGAAGCAAACGTTTAGGAAAACTAGATGTTTATCCTCAGGTGCTATGGAGAAAGGAACATCATTTTACTAAAATTCAGTAATGTTTCATCCAAATGCATTTTTGAGCCATACAACAAACTTCAGCGATCCCTAAACCGAAGTATACAGAGATACATAGAACGAATCACATTCCCTGTAACTTAATATCAAATCTGCTAACAAAATAAAGAACCAAAGTAAATCTTTTTTGATTATTTTGATATCATCTATCAAAAATACCTGTTTATCTGTTGTAACTGTTGTCGTCGAAACATTAGGTGGCTCACATGTAAGGCCAGAGTCTGCGCTCAACTCTGATTCACAGAGTAGTTTTTTAAAAGATGCATCCAAGTCGGATGCATTGCGTGGTTCAGGATCACAGGATGAATCCATATCTAAATCGCTAACTTCCTTTACAGGCCATTTCTTTATTGATTTCAACAAATCTTCCAGCGAATTACGCACACTAACTTCACTTCCTTGATCACCCATCTGCAAATTCCTCGAAATTTTATCATTTAATATTGATTATACAATTCGCACGGACGGCTGTCCATGCTCTCCATAAAAAGGGAGCCCAGTTTCATTTTTGTTCGATGCATAAGTTACCCATATCATTGTCAGATATGGATGATCCAATCCATCTGATATACTTTATGCAGAATGTCATTCCTAACTATAGCAATTTTCGGGACTGGAACAAGTTCATCCTATCATATGTTACAGCACTGTATGGGAAATGAATACCACTGATTTGAAGAATTTGGAAGGAATTAGCATGAAAAGTCCATTATTCAGGTGAAAAAAAGTGACTGTTCTAATGATCAGCTCAGGAAATAAATTTATTACACAGCATCTATTTTTAGTGAAATTGAAACACACATTCCGCACACACAAAAAATCCAAATTTATGCTCTTCATGCATGCATTTCTCTCTAAAACCAAATTCCAAATTAATCCCAGAACTGGAAATTTCGTAACTCTTTTACACTGTTAAGAATAATGATAATAAGACCATTGTGTAATAAAATGAAATAGAAGAGCAAGTAGGATAACAGAAAAAACTAACAAAAAACATCGAAAAGCAAGAAATGCGAAGAGTCAATATTTTCAGTCAGTTTGAGAATAAATTGCTGGTACAGATTAAAAAATTTTGATAAAAGAATTAATCATAACATATGCAAACAGCAAACATACAACTTTGCAATTTGCTTCATTCAGAATTCAGGTATAGATATTTAGGTATATTTGTTTAAAAAATTCCTTAGTGCAAAGCTGATTATTTCGCAAAAAAATTCCAACACTCCATACCACATTTTCAAATAAGCAAGATATTTTTTAATAGTACTCATGCTGGAAAATAATGGAAAACATGCTCATTGAGAATTTACAAAGAATTCGAAAAACAATGCTAAAGATATTGCATCATTTACAATCTTGTAGAACCACCCATAAATTTAAAGGAATGAACATTTTTCATTTTGCAAAAATAGCTGATAAATGAATAAATAATTAACTGTAAAATTTAAAGTAAAATCATAACTAATCATATTTTTTTGAAAACATATTTGCATTGAAAAATCCAAATAAATCCTAAGAGTGCTGTCTCAGTCTAGGTAAGATGCAAAGCCTATTTGTAATAATCAAAAAATGATGAAAGAGTCCACAAAAGATTCAACTACACTTATGAATAAGAGAAAAGAACGAACCTCAAGTGATATTTGTCCTTGCAGTAAATAGAAATAAATAGCTTTCCCCACCGCTTCCTGTTTTCGAAAATCTGTTGCTAACGCTGCGCATGCACGTGATTCTGTAGCACGATCACCCAAATTCCTAGCAAGCTTTAAATACCGGGTGTGATATTCTACTGCTGAAATATAATCAACTACTCATCGACAACTCATAAAAAAAAAGTTGAATCCGAAATGCAAATAAATTGGAGAAAATTTTCGTCTCACTTATACGTGTACGACACCGCCCAACTTCAGCCAAAAGACAAAAATCTTTAGTGGTCTGCATTTGCCGGCATATCATTTCAAAATAAATATTTAGATAAAACCTGTCATATGATCGCCACATATAGCAGCACCATTGCCAACATTGAAGCAACACTGTGCTTCTGTCACTTCATCATGCAATTCCGCTGCAACTGACAGCGCCAAACTAAAGAATTTTTGCTACAGTAGTGAGCAAGGACTACTCAAATATTGTTACAACTTCAATGCACATTGAAATGCGACAAATACCAAACCAATCTCGACAATGTTCCCATTCAAGGTTATAGCTTGTCACCATCTCTACCTTATTACCAACAGCATTAGACAGAAACAAGTATAAACAATAGATAGGAATATTGTAAAAAAAAGAAAACTACCGGTAATATTCTAAAGCCTTTGCCGTTTCTGAAAGAAAAATATGAGCATTCCCAAGATTTGTATAGGCGCGTCGCATTGCTGCACGATCACCATATTGTCGAGCAATGTCCAGTCGCTGAAAGACATTTTACTCAGCACAAAAAAAGTTATCATTATTTACTTTAGACAATGGGAATCAAGAACAGGGTTATCAACAATAGGGCTATCAAATATCTCCTTCAAATAAATGTTTAATACCTTTTCAGTTGTTTAATGCCTATTCCATTATTGTTTGATACCTATTTCTCCTAGCTGTTAGAGTTGTTAGGTTAGAGGAGACCGGAGGACACCCCACGCCTTTCAATAAGACCATAATTTTTTTTGCATGTAGGCAACCGCAACTATAAGTCGTGAATACTAACATTCTTTTCATGAATAGTGTGCTTACCTTGTTGTGATAATAAACTGCAGTTGCATAATCACCCAGCATATAGTAACTGTTACCAATATTGCCATACGTTCTACCACATGCAACGAAGTCTTTCATGTTCTCGACAATGTGAAGATTTTGTCTGAAATGGGACTATTTGACAAATTAGTTTTTATCTAGGAAAATGTTGTGGATTTTAGGTTTTACCAAGAACCAAGTTTTGGTTCCTTTTTTTTATTCTGATAAATCATATTTGAAATGCAGACAAGATTTCTGTATCTACAATCAGTCTATATTTGATGAACCATCAAGAAATCAATGATAAAAGAAATGCATAGCAATGTATGGAGTAAAGTAATGTGCGTATAAATAACGAGTAGACTTTTCCAATACAATCTCTCATTACAATCCACATGTCAGTTTCAACCAAATAAGATAAATGCTTACAAATAACAATTTATAGCAGCTTGAAGTTGCGAGGTTGCTGTCATATCGCTAGCTGTAAGGAGCCCAGACTTATCAAGAGGTTCCGATGCATGGATTATTGTCTTCGCGCGACAGTGGTAAACGGATGCCACATTATAAAGAGCTCCAGCTTCACATTCCTGTAAAGAATCTTGATAAATGCAAAACACAAGAGTGCAAGAAAAATATTGCAAAATTTATGCTATATTATGTCACTATACCAAGTACATATGAGCAAAGAAAAAAAAAGCGGTTACCACAACTGTCACAATATTGTTCATTTTGCCGAACTATCAATGAATGAATAAATGCATCAAATGCAATCTACAGAAAATAGGAAAATCATGAAGCATATACATCGGTTGCACTTGAGGCATTTCTAATTTAATTACAAGATTTTACTTGTTGACTCGATTCATGAAAATCCACAAAATCAGCATAACCTTCATTATGACAGCAAAACATTCGATGCCAAACGTCAAACAAAACCCAACATCGACTAATTCAGTTACATATATCATGACTCGCAGAAGCAAGATCTCTTTAATCACCTTTCACAACAGGTACTATAGTTGGGAATAATGCTACACTTACTTTATCATTAAGTTCTTGTGCTAATCGTAAATGTGCAACCGCATGTTCGTAAGCGCTATCAAAATCACCCAAAGCCTTATAGGTATTTGCTATATTTCCGTGAGCTTTTGCAAGTCCAGAACGGTCATTAAGCAATCTAAAAATAGCTTATAGAGAATCTAATAATGTGAAAATTTTGTTGTGCGTTACGAATAACTGAGAAAATATTAGCCCTTACTTGGCAGTTTCCAAATCATGTCGATGATATTCGAGCGCTTTGTCGAAAATACGCAACACAAAGTAAGCATTTCCTAGTTGTGAATAAATTGCAGACAATGCTTCCAAGCTGCGACCTCCAAGGTTAATTTTCTTCCTTAACGCCATTTCCAAGTATTTGATCCCTATAAGTAGATTATTCTTCATATTTATTTATTCGGCAGGGGTTAATTCTAGAAAAAATTATGAAAGATTGTAAACATTTTCAAAGCAATAATTATACGCTCGAAAAATTCTATCACTGTGCAAGATTTTATTGGAATTTCTTAAGTGATAATTGAAACAGGGGAAATAATGACACAGTGATCACATTCAGAAAATATAATGCAATGCTCTACCGCTTTTAGTTCATAAACTGCTAGTACGATGTGAACTTGCAAATAAGCTTTCCAGAGAGGGCATGACAATCACAAAGTTTGCTTAATGAGGATGATGATATGATAAAGGATGTTAAGATGAAAGCATCCAATTTCTAACCTGATTTCATGCTGTTCTCGCGGCATAACCGCTCACCTTCTTGGGCAAGTGCCAGGGCATCCATACCTTCCACTGCTAGTGGTACGCTCATCTATACACTTCTCTGTATGCCTTGCAAGTATAGCTTCACCTGCCCTGAAAAAAAGCTCGTTAATGGTACAGACAAACAGGATAAACAAAGTGGATAACAAAGTCGGACAAATAAAGTGTATCCAACAATGGCATAAACACAATTAGAGAGGTATCAGAAAACGCATAACATAACGAAGCACAATTTGATTAAATATAGTTACAATAACAATATTATTTTTATAGTGCTCTCGATCTGTCACATACTCTCATACACCACATTTTCCCTTCCACAATCACACGTACTGTATCCTCACGTTCCCTCCACGCAATACGGAGGAGTGACACCAATTGATCGGTTTCAGCTGTGGATCGTAATGCAACAACGTTGAGTGCATGCAACACTTCATGCAACTTTACATTGAGATTCTTCGATGGCTTACATACAGAGTATGAAGTGATGCTATATTTGGTCACTGGTAATCACGGGGTTTGAAACAGTGCTAGCTGAAAGACGCGCGGATTATCATAACCGATAGATGCGATTCATATTGTGCGCAGTAATGGTATTTTGATGAAATTTAAACACCTACAAAATATTTCAAGTAACACTGAAATCTCGATAACAGGCCTTGAACAGTAAAATATCGTATGTTTGAGGACGTTCAACGTTCCTTTGAAGTGGGACAGGAATCCACTCCTACCGCTGGTAGAGAAGCCGAATGCAACGGTATGTTTTCCATTTCATAATTGTAGAGTAAAATTTAGCGGCACTTTATTTTCCTCAGTTGAACGTCCTTCTGTAAAATCCATTCTTTTGGTCGGTTCGCAATAAAAATCTTCATATTATTTTTGTCTTTCAGACACTAATATACGACAGGATGTGGAATGTCCACACAAGAACAAGAAGGGAATATTTAAAGTTGCAAATTTGCGAAAAAAAGTGAAAAATTTCAAGAAGAAAGTGGGAATTAATTATTGCGAAGACTGCGCAAGACTTAATCCACCCGAACAGCGGCCATCGGTTTGTTTTCCCTGTTTATTCTTGAAACCGTGTAAAATGTGGTGAATTATGACTGTTCCCCATTTTATAGCTAAAGTTGTGCACAAAATTTGTATTGTTTCTTTCCCAGCTGATGCATCTTGCTATTGAAGGTGTGGATATGCGTCACTTGCAGCTACTCCGGGTGCGATGAGAAAAATCACACTTTAGATCACTTCAGAGCACTGCGTACTGGCACGGAGCACCCACTTTTTTTTGCCGTGGAAGGCAAACAATTCCGGTGATTTTTGCATATTCAATATTTGAAGATAACTTGAAGATTTAATTTGCACTGCGCATTCATTTTTTATTTTCTCACCTTGATGAACAGTTCGTGATTTGACAGAGCAATGCATTAACATATGTGTTTATTGAGAAGATATTCCAAGTAACTTTTTATCTGATACAATATTCTGATGAATTACAAAAGCATTATGCAAACATACTGGAAAATACCAGTTAATCAGAAAGGGACTTTCATGGTTATTAAATGATTTTTATAGCTCGTTTTGTTAAATAGCAAAAGATCTTTCCATATCAGAGTTAAAATATTTCGTTGAAAGATGTTCGTAGCTTCAGGTGCTTCAGCTGCGAAAAAAGAATTGATGTTGCTGAAGAAGAAAGTGGTTCAATAAAAGCTTTTCTTAATGATTATAACTCTTTCATAAAACCAAAGCTGAAGATTAATCCATTAGAATCTCAGTCAATGAAAAGTGGTGGCACAAAAAGAAATTCTTCACTCACTGGGGAAATTGATTCGAAAAAGAATGAAAATAGTAACGAAAAGTGTTTAACAGAAAGTAAAATGAAAAATAATGAAAGGAAAACATTGCTTCCAGTGAAGGTTTGTGAAGTTAATTCATTTTCAGATAAATTTCTTAAAAAACTATGGAAAAGTTTTTGATTTTCTAAAAATTTTGTTCGTATATATTTGTTGTACATATGTTTTTGCTTTTACACTTTCCTTAAGAATTCGTCCGAATCCAGATGAAGTTCATAATGCAATTGTGAAGCCATTAAATGTCTATTCTGCACTGCAGGGCCTCGCTAATCTTGGGAACACCTGCTTTTTTAATTCAATAACTCAGTGCCTTCTTCACACTCACACTCTTGCTGTGTACATCAATTTGATTGGTAGAGAAGACAACATCGAACTCATGCAGAACAAAGTTTTGATTGGTGACAAACTAGTCCAGGTACTTTACTGAAATTTCTTAATGCGAAGGGTAATAAATTAATTGACTTAGTATTGAGTCTAAAGAAAACTGAATGCAGAATGAGAAGAAACAGCACTATATGTCTTGGAGAACTGCCAGCATGCATCGCTAGCTGGTCACTCCTAAAAAAGGAAAATCTTATGTTTTTGTGAGTTATTTGTAGCTGACAGTTAAATATTGTTGTGATTGTAAATGTATTTGAACCAAAAGAGTCTGAGACCTTTGCATAACTTTCCTGCAAAACCCTAAATCGACAATCGATTGTTTTTTCGAATCTCTCGAGGACCCCTTCTATACAATAACATTTCGGAAAGTAAATTTTATTGTTGGGAATAACTGCTAATATATGAAACGAGATGGAAGAAACTGAACTTGGACGCGTAAATTTTGCAGAAAGTTCAAAAATTGGTCAAACATTTCCTTCTAGATTAGGTGTTCCAAGAGTTGGCATTTCTACTTGCAAAATTTCTCATTTTATTTCTTGATAACTTCAGAGCATTTTTTCATCAATTAGTGAGTTAACTAGTCATTGCATTGGAGGTTAATTAATGTAATTCTTAAGCTTTTGTGGATGATTGGACATATTTCTTCCAACAATTTTGTGAAAGATCGATTTCTTCGTTGATTTTTGTCAATTTGTGATGTAATTGCAGGTGCCGCACGTATATTTGTCTTTGGCTTCATTTGATGGGCCATTAAATAATATTTTCGCAAATTTCATACGCGATTTCAAAGCTGGGTTGGCTATTCATCCGTCTTCTTTATTCAGTGAAATAGCCAGGAAGTTAGTGCATTGCTGTATGATGAAATAATTTTTGTAGCTTTTTAGAATTAACGACATTACTGCGTTGTTTGTCTATTCTAATGTTTTAAAATATGTGGTAAGTAGAATCTCAAAATATCTATTTGTTATTTACGAAAGATCTCTTACTCTGAGGGGGAAAAAAATTCATCAATTGGAAGTTTGAAAATGGACATATTACCACATCTGATTTTTTGTATTGCCTCAGAAGTCTTTAATAAATGAAAGTTGTAAATAGTACTTTCGTTATTATTTCAAATCAGTTTCATGTAACTTATAGAGCACCACGTTTTCGAGGATGGGCACAGCAGGATGCTCATGAATTATTACGGTATTTAATGGATGGTCTCAGAACGGAGGAAATTAACCGATATAAGGAGTCTATTTCTCGATATATCAAAACAGCCAGAAATGGAAATCCCAAATTGACGGATGGCGAACTCTCTTTATTGGCTAAGGTCAATTTTTACTAATGCATCATTACATCTCATAATCGCAACAGATATTCGTTTGTAAACTTATTCTACAATGAAATACAGGAGGCAAGATTGTGCAAATATAGTGATGGTTTTTCGTGCACATGCTGCAGTGGACTTATACCATACCTCTTACACTACCATATTCTTTGCAAAACTGGCCTTAGTAAAATTGGTTCGTTCTTTGTATAACTATAAGCGCTCAATCACATTAATAATTGAATATGAATATGCAACCTTTTAGTGTTCACAGCTCTTGTTTACTGTTTCAGGGCATGCTCAAAGCATGTGGAAGGCCACTTATTGATGCTGTTTTTGGTGGCACACTTTTACAGACAGTGAAATGTTCAGATTGTGGTCATCTTTCGAAAACTTACGAAGATTTTTTGGATCTTTCTCTCCCACTTCCATCAACATCAGCCAAAACATTATTTAATGGAACCTATAAAATGCACAAATCGGCTTCAATGAGCTTAAGTAAATATCAGAAAAAAAAGAAAAAAAGAACGCACGCAAAGGAGTTAGTAAAATTTATTTTAGAGAATTCAAAAAAACTCGTTATCTTCACACGATGTAAAAGTTGCTCTTGCGCATTTAATGCGTTAGTTCATAAAAGTTATATATATTGACTGATGTACTGATGAATTCTATGCAATTACTCTGTTACACTTCATCTTTTCAAATTTAAGAAAATACGTCGAAAATCTCATGAAATTATTTCGCATAACGATGAGATTAATAGTGGGCAACGGCTCTATCTTAATAATGATGTTAGCGATGAAGAAGTTCCTGATGACGATGACGTTGATCCAAAAAATATCAACGGTAATGTTTTCATTGATATATCTTCATTATTTTTTGTATAATTTACTTCAGCGATGTTTTATTTTTCGATAAGAATTGAAAACTGTCATTACTGTTATTTAAAAAATATTTGATCTATTCGATTTTAAGACGTCATTGCATTCTTTGCTTCCCTCGGGAAAATAGGGTTGAATTAAGGTGTTTTTATTTTCATTTCTCAGTTAATTTTTCAATTCGCTTTTTCTGGATCTGAATATTTTAGGTGATATCTGTAATGAAATGAATAAAATGAACATGAATACTGAGCTAGAAGATTGCCTGCAGTTGTTGGATGATGGCGAAGCTGTAGAGGACGAACCACGTTCATTAGCATCGTGTCTTCGAGCTTTTGCAACAACAGAAATTCTCTCGGCACCGAATACTTATGAATGTGAAAAGTGCTGTGTTCCTTACAACAAACAGGTTCAAAATTTTATATTCATTGAGTTCTTTTTTCAAATCCTGTTCATTGTTAGAAGTTTTGTTAAAAGTTAAAAAGTTTAAAAGGTTTGGTGATTACAAACTGTTGTTATGTAATGAATAACTTCAGCTTCGGAATGGAATGAAGAAAAGGACGGTTGAAGCTGAGAAGCGTTATTTAATTTATGAGCCACCTCCTGTTTTAACATTGCATCTCAAACGGTTTGAACAGGTAATCTGGAAATCGCAGTTGAAGTCAAAAACGAATTGCGTATTTCTTTTTTAAGCTTTGCAGAATTGGTAGAAATCAGAAGACAAAATATCGTGAGGTCTCACTGTATAATTGCTATTGTAAAAAGATCCCATATCGTGTAGCTCAGAAAATCTTGAGTTTTCATTTGTTTTTTTTTTCGAAAAGCGGAAATCACCCATCCGTTTGCATTTCGGATCTTCCAAATTAAGTTTCTCTTCCACATGCTTCTCCGAGAATTAGATCTTTTCAATTCGCGGTTCTCATGCAGGGATGTAGCCACTATGGTTTTTGTTCTAAAATTTTTTCTCCAACTTTTAGTCAACCACTTATTTTGAGAGCATTTTCGCATTTTTTATTCATACTTATCCCTTTGCCGCCATTTATTACTTCTTCAGACACATTCGGTGAGTGGTCGAGTGATCACGCGCAAGGTTCCTGGGCAAATTTCTTTTCCAAAAATTCTTAATATTGCACCTTTTTGCACGCAAATAGCTAAGGTAATTGAATTTCATTAAAATTGCTGCAGGTTGGATTTTTATTTTCTCCATTATTTTTCAAAGCTGTAATATGCTTTGTCCGGCCATTGGTCTGTAAAAATTGGTTAATTTCCCATTAGTTGTTGGATGGCAATCCTGGCTTTTCCTTGTCTATTCATATATTTTGGAAATTCATATCCATTTCGAATAACATTTTAACTGTGCTGTGGAAATATTGTAGCCATTAAATGCGATTTTGCAGAGAATTGAAAAAGGATTAAAACAAGTATGTTATTCATTATACGGTGTTGTATCACATTCTGGAGATCTCTCGTCGGGTCATTATGTCGCGTTTATCAAGAATCGATATCCCTCATCGCAAACCGAGAAGTTTTTCTACGAAGCCGCAAATCTTTCTCCACCAGATTCAATCACTAGTTGTAGTCCTTCGGAACTGAAAGAGTTGGATCTTGTTTTTGTATCATATTTTCATAAAGTTCGTTCTGAAATTATGGCGGCTATCTGGTTTTTAAGTGAGCAGCTCTACCACTTTAACAATTTAAAAAAGTAAAGAAACTTGGTTTGAAGGGATTTTCACGTCATAAATGTTTTTCGGTGAGCTGATGCTCTGATATATAGCTTTGCCCCTTGTAAAAGCATTTAAATGTTGATTAATTAGGAAATCGTGGTGATACTATCTGTTTTTGATCCTTATCATTTTCAGTAGTTGGGTACCTTTATTATTTTTATAATACTTACTGCAGGATAATAGAAGAGCCATGCGATGGCGAGTGGTACTATGCAAGCGATATGAGAGTAAGTTCTGTATCGGAATCACGCGTGCTTGGTGCCGAAGCATATGTCCTTTTCTACGAGCGAATCTTTTAATGAATTCTTCCCCATTTATTTACGGTGTTGTATTTTTAATTCTTTCCAATCAGTATTAGGTTTTTTTTTATGGCAACTAATTTTAGTGTTTCAAAAGTTTCCTTTTTTGTGACCAAATATGCTTGCTCACATTATTTGCAATCTAATTATGCTCCGTTTTCCTTCCGCTGTCATCGATTTTAATTAAATTATAAATTATTGAACGCAAGCTCAGTAGTTTATGAAATGCCGTTCGATGATATATATTTGTAGATTTTTATATTAGAAGTTGCTATTTTGTTCCAGAAAGACATTTCCAAAATAATAATGAATAATTATGGTTTTTTGCCTTTTTTAAAAACTTGACCTAAAGCGGCCGAAGAAAATATTCATGCTATATTAAATTTTAACGAAGAAACTGATGGCCAGTATTTGTAATCCTTCAATCTCTGCATGCCTTGTTGTACTGTAGTTGTGCTTGGCAGTAAACTACGGGTATGGTGTTAAAGTTAAAAGGCCAAAAAAATGGTCATTTCTCTCTTTTTTGGATACTGGGGGTTTGTTTTTACTGGTCTTTCCATAGTGTCGTAAACTTCATTGATTTTTTATGTATAATGGAATAAAATGTTATGTCATACCCTGTGTTCTGTTGCTCCGAAAAGGCTTACTAAATCCTCATAAGCTTGTAATTCACTGGTTCCATTGAACAATCTGTTAAACAACTTACTCTGTTATCTATTGCTTGCGTGTGTAATTTAGTACTGAATAGTAGAGTTTTCCAAAACTGTTTCATGGATGAAAGTTATATCGATGGCTGTGATTGGTCGAAACTCTGCTGAGGTCAGTCGATTTCGTATAAACGATCTGCAGAGAGCTTGCATCTTTGATTTTTTATTTACTCAGAAAGTTTCATGGACTTCACATTTGAGGTAAGCATTCATTATGTTTCATTTTCAGCGAAATGTGCCAACGGTGTAGAGTAGTGCTATTATCATGTTAATCATTTGTAGTGAGTCTGACTGGTCGAGAAACATGTAAGTTCGCTGTAATCGAACGACATTTTATTAATCATTAGCAGGTATCGCTGATTGCATTCTGAAGTAAGTTTTGCCGATTTTATTTTCTTTTCTATTTTATTTCTGTAACTTTGTTTTTTTCCTTTTTTATAAATATGAACTACATTCATGGTCACATCGCTTTACTCTCTTTCAAAATTGCTGAATAAACTAAAAAATAAATATGTCATTTGATAACAACTAATCATTTGATAACAACTAATCAGTCATTCTGTTTAATGCAATTACATTATATCTCTTTGTCTTTATCCTACCACTATTATTGATTAATTGATACACTGAATAGTAATAGGCTGCACTATAACCCCGATAATGTAGCTGATTTAGGCATAATCCGTGGTATTTATGTGTATGTGACTGATTATGATAGTGGATAATTAAGGAAGGGAACAGATTCAATCTATGTTTTTGAGTTCGTGACCAATCGTATATTCTTGACAGTTTTTCTCAGCAGCATTATTGCTGTTCATATTCATATTCGTTCAGAACTGTGATCAAAAAAAGTGTCATACAAGTACCTCATGTAAGTTTCCTTTTTTCTCATCCAACTCCTGTTCTCGCTGATATCGCGAGTAAAAACAAAGGAACAATAATCCCCTTTGTTGAAAGCCAGACATCTTTGTTTTATATGCTTATGTCGTCTTACGGTTCCGATAACAAAGAACCGTATACCAATAGGCGCTCCATAAGGATGCTAATTGTAGTAATCATAAAAACGACACAAGGACTCTCCCACTTGAGGAAGCGCAGGGTCCTGAGCCCCAATTCATTTTGCAAATGTGTCATTGAGGTTGGTTGGATATAAGGTATAAGGTATGGTTTGGTCTTCTTGTTCTTAGTGTTTTCGTCATTAATTTGCTCTATCGATGTCGTAGTTGCAGGTTCGTTGTTGTATTCATAATCGTAATGAAGGTTTAATTACCCAAGTTTGAGGTACTACAACCTAAAGAGACAAAAATAATCCTCAGTCTTCGTCATGGTTGAAGAAAATCGGCGACACCTGTCCTTTTCTTCCTATCTTTATTATTAGTACAGTTAGGACACCTGGAAAAACAGCTGTAAATGGCACATACCAATACTCCTAGTTCTTGATTGCATATCACTGACAATTTAGTCATTACCATTTCTTTGGTTTCTTCCTTCCATCTCTTTTACTCTCCTTCCCACCTACTCTGCCTAAGGGTACACGGAATCCAGTTAA